GGGGGGAGGGGGGATCCAGGGCCCGCTCCAGGCAGAGCAGGGGAGAGACTCAGCTCCACATAGTGCTGGAGCAGGGCACCAGCTCTTAACTCGCCGGCACTTCCAGGTGCAGGGGCATGGGGCCCGATTCAACCAAATGGGTCAAATCGGCCTAAGGGCTGGCAGCCACCAGGCACGCTGAGGCCCGGCATTTTTTGGGAAACGCTGCTCTATCTGATAGGGGGTGGGGAGTCGACTAGTCAACTGACTATCGAATTAACATTTGGTTATCGGATAGTCGACTAGTCCTTAACACCCTTACCCCTAACACACAACTAGCCCTTAACACCCGTAGCACTGAGCAAACTCTGATAATATTATTGATTGTGAACAAAAATACAAATACACTGTCACAAGTCACTCGTGACATTTTTCTTTAAATAAAACTGAAGAATTTTAAAAAAGTGGGGGTGGGGAGAACTCCCATGACATCACAGTTCAGATTTAAGCTGCAATGTGGTTATGTAGAATTATAGGGCTGGAAGGGCCTCAAAAGGTTATACAGATAAGTCCCCTGCATTCGTGGCAGGACTAAGTATGTTCTAGACCAGGGATGGCCAAACCTATTGACCCTGTGATCTGCATGTAATAAACTTAGTAAGTTTGAGAGCTAGGCACATCTGCTGGAGCTCAGAGCCTTAGCAGGTGCCTCCCATGGGGCTGAAGCCACTAGCCCCATCACTCTGCCACAGGGCAGAAGCCCTGAGCTCCCTCTGCCCCAATCTGGTAGATGGAGAATGCAGGGGGATGAGTGTCAATCCACAAGCCATACTTTAACTGTAAAAGAGATGTGTATGGCTCACAAGCCGCAGTTTGACAAGCTCTGATCTAGACCATCCCTGACAGGTGCTTGTCTAACTTACTCATAAAAATCTCCAATGATGGAGATTCCACAACCTCCCTATATAATTTATTCCAATACTTAACTGGAATATAGTTAACATGTGAGAATGACCCATTTCCTCAGCTTAATCATGATTCATCCCTCCAGCTCGCTAATCTCTTTCCAGTTTTAGTTTTTCTGTGTTTCATTCATTCAGTATTTACATTTTGTTTAAACTTGTACAAAAAACAAGTATTGAAATTACTAGTTCACCAAGCTGGAGCTTACCCCATGCTTATAGTCTGGAAGTGCAGAAAAGAGGTGAAAATCTTCAAGTAGTCTTCCTTTTCATTTTGTTTATATTCATTTTATTTTGCTCTGGATATAATTACATTATAGGCTTGAAGACTACAAAAAATGTTCAAGCCTGTTGTGGCTTTGCCACTCTTAAGTTATGCAGCCATCAAAAACAGGTGGGTGGAAGTGAGAGGAGTGTGAAACTGAATCCTCCAGGAGCAGTATCACTGTATGACTTTCCTAGATCATTCTACCTAACATCTCTCTTCTCTCTAGTCTTCTCTTCCCATCTCCACAAAGGTAACTATGTAATGAGCTAGAAGGCTTTCTCTAGTTATCTGATCAGCACTTTTCTAAAGTGTTATATTCACTGTTAAAAACAGGACCCTGACATTCCCCTTGTTAGATAACGTGGGCTGTCACATTTATAACATTTGGATAGTGTAGGCTATGCTGTTATGAAAAAGGTCTGAGGCAGCTAATTGACCAATGATTGTTCTGAGTGTTTGGGCACCTGTGTAACTGCATAGTTCATTATTCTTTGGTCTGTTTAGCCTAAGCCTAGTTTACAGGGGTTAGTCAGCCATCTTGCTAAATTGCAAGGAAAATATTTAAGGGGTTTTTTTTAATTGAATATTTTCAAAGTAAAAACACTAGAGAACTGAGGACTCCAGTTGCTGAGATAGTCAGACAGTATTTGAAAAACATTTTTAGGATTCAGCTGAAATTCACACTGACATGAAAATTCTAATTCCTCAATTTCTGGCAGCATTTCCACTCTTGTTTCCATAGAAATGGATACCAGCTCATTGAAAACAGGATTAAGTTTTTACATGGGCCTTAAAGCTTGGAGTTAATTTATATTAATTTAAAATTAACAGAATAAAAATTACAAAGATGACACTTCAGTAGTCAGAACTTCACAGATTTTGTTCATTTTCTTGGATTTAGACAGGAGACAAGCAAAATAAGTCATTTAGGGTATGTTTTCACTGCATTTGGGAGCAAGCCACTCAGCCCGGTCCACAGACTTGCGCTAGCACATTGAAAATAGCGCTAAAGATGTTTCTTTTCTAAAACAGTCCTTCCCTGGAGCTGTTGATTATGTATATATGTAGGAGTATATACATCTAAAGAGAGGATACTGGCATTTTTGTGACTTGTATTACCCTTGTAATTTTTTCAAATCTCACGGCATAGATGTTGACAATAGGACAAGTCGTATTGCTGTTAATGTTATTTACAGTATCAGGGTATATACAATCTTTACACTCATACACACTGGGGCAGTACAGGATGCTCTTTTCTCTTCCGGCGGCTCTGCTGAAATGCACTGAAAAGCCTGTGGTTGGAAAGATGCTTACAGCTTATTACCTTAATGGCAAAGATTTTCCCGATGAATGATGATAGACCTGTGAACAGGAACTTTTTCTTTCCTTTCCACGTCCCAAAAAACATGTAAAATTCTTTTAAAAATAACTGTAAACATCTATTTATTAATTGGTCACCTTGAGATTTTGTGTTTTCATAAGACTTTCAAAATTGTGGACTATGAAGATGAGCTGGATTTGTTATCCGTTGTGGCGGTTACTCAGATAGGAGCTGATGGGAGAGCACACCTTGACTTTCACTGTAATGAACATGGGATTCTACTTAAGAGTATTCCATTAGTGGAGTCTTGGGATGTGGTGAGTATAATCCACTAAATTCAGTTTACATTAACATTCCCCTGTACCCACTTGCCATACTGCTTTGCATCCAAGTACAGTAAACTTCCGATAATCCGGCACCTTTAGGACCCAGGGGGTGCCGGATTATCAGATATGCCGTACTATCCGAAGGGGGGGCTATGAGGAGTCTGGGTGGGATGGAGGGATGGGGGAAGCGGCAGCGCTGCGGGACCAACCCGGCAGCACCCCAGCTGCTCTGCCCCAGGCGTCCCCAAAAGCAGTTGGGGTGCTGCTGGGTTGGTCCCACAGCTCTGAGGGGCAGCGCTACAGGACCAACCTGGCAGCACCCCAGCTCCTTTGCTCCCGGCTTCCCGGATTCAACTGCTGGTCAGTTTCAGAAGTGGCTGGATTGGGGAAGCCTGTCCGGATGCCCCAGCACTTCCAGGTTCCTGATGGTGCCGGACCATCAGGAGTGCCGGAGCATTGGATGCCAGACTAATGGAGTTTTACAGTACTTTGTAAATATAATACTTTTTTATTCATAACAAATGCTAAACTCACCTACTATTGCTGTAAGTTTGAATAGCAAACCTGCCGGGTTGGTCCCGCAGCGCCGCTGTGGACCAACCCAGCAGCACCCAAGCTGCTCTGCCCCAGTCTTCCCCAAGTCAGCCGCTGCTGAAACTGACTAGCGGCTGACTCTGGGAAGCCCGGGGCAGAGCAGCTCCAATTGTCTGGCTGCCTGGAGCACTTCCGGGTTCCAGGTGGTGCCGGATCACTGGATGCCGGACAACTGGAGTTTTATTGTAACTGTTTTATTCATATTTTCGAGTCAGATATACAATATAAACCCCACTGGAAATTCCCATGTAAAGTATCTGTAGCAAAAGTTAATCAGTTGGACTTGCAAGTATTCTGTGATACAGTAGTTCATTTATCTGAAAATCCACAGTATTAAATTAGGATTTCGCTCATATTTTTAAGGCAATCGATACACGTTCTTTTGACAATCATAAAATACTTAACCTAATCTTTGTTCCCACAAACATATGTGTGTATGCTTAACTTTACAACTTTTGAGTGTTCTGACCGAGAGCAGTGGAACCTTTCAGGTGCAAAATTAAGTATAGGCCTGCCTGTGTGGGAATTTAAATATTTAGATATCTAACTCCCCACTGATTTCAATGGGGATTTAGGTACCTAACTATCTTTGAAGATCTGAACTGTGATTCTTAAACACTTGCTTTATCTGAAAGACCGTTTATCTACATACGCTTTTTGTCATGTGTACTAGGAAAATGAACAGTATTTTGCTGTAATTTTCTAATCAGTTTTAGGGAAGTCTTATTTATATGGTACTGACATGAGCCTCTGGGAAATGAAGCTATCATTCAAAATTATTTTCTTATTGCAGACTTACAATCACCAAGTTTACTTTGATAGAGACATTGTGTTACATATAGAACAAAAGCCTAACAGGATCTTCAGCTGTTATCTGTACCAAATGGTCTGTGGTAGTGCAGAGGAAGATGAACATTCAAGCCTTGAAAAAGTGAAAAAAGTCTTTTGTAAAAAGGGGGAGAGAATTTTTGAATATTTTAAGAGAGAATGAGCTTCCACTGAGGCTTCACACTACATGGACATTGTCTCCTTAGTCTAGTCAAATATTATGTTCTAAGCATTGTGTTAAAATGTGTATTTTGAGCTTGAATATTTTATTATGGAGTATTTTGCACATAAAGATGGTCATTGTATGTATTTTCATAGACTATAATTTAACTTCATTTACCTTTTACAGTTGCTACTGGCTACTGATTATGATATTGTAACACAAATAATGATCTCATTTATTGCTCTTGTCCACCAACTACTGGTAATCTGATTGAAATACTGAATATCAGGCCCAAAGACTTACTGATATCCATACTGTACTATATTTTGTTTTACTTACACTTAGATCTTCTCTTGCAACTTTATTTTAAATTGTCTATACTGTAATAATGTTTTTAGGATAAAATTTTATATAGAATAAAAGTGCCAGAGTTGTTATCAAGTCATTTAGACATGCGGGAACTGTGTCCTTCTGTAAATTCCTCTTGACTGTGTAGAAACACTTTCTTTAAAAAAACCAAGTGTTTAGTAATTAACTAATTATTCTTTCTTCTTTGTGGTACCCACTAATTTGTTGTTCTAATTTGTAAACAGGATGAGGTTTAATAAAGAGAAATGCAAAGTGCTCCACTTAGGAAGGAACAATCAGTTCCATACATACAAGATGGGAAGCGACTGTCTAGGAAGGAGCATGGCGGAAAGGGATCTAGGGGTCATAGTGGACCACAAGTTGAATATGAGCCAACAGTGTGATGCTGTTGCAAAAAAAGCAAATATGATTCTAGGTTGTATCAACGGGTGTGTTGTAAGCAAAACTCGTGAAGTCATTCTGCCGCTCTACTCTGCACTAGTTAGGCCTCAGCTGGAGTACTGTGTCCAGTTCTGGGCGCCACATTTCAAGAAAGATGTGGAGAAATTGGAAAGGGTACAGAGAAGAGCGACAAGAATGATTAAAGGTTTAGAGAACATGACCTATGAAGCCAGGCTTCATGAACTGGGCTTGTTTAGTTTGGAAAAAAGAAGATTAAGGGGGGACATGATAGCGGTTTTCAAATATCTAAAAGGGTGTCACAAGGAGGAAGGCGAAAATTTGTTCCTCTTGGTTTCTGAGGACAGGACAAGGAGTAATGGGCTTAAAGTGCAGCAGGGGAGGTTTAGATTGGACATTAGGAAAAAATTCCTAACTGTCAGGGTGGTCAAATATTGGAATAAATTGCCAAGGGAGGTGGTGGAATCTCCCTCTCTGGAGATATTTAAGAACAGGTTAGATAGACATCTGTCAGGGATGGTGTAGACGGAGCTTGGTCCTGCCTTGAGGGCGGGGGGCTGGACTCGATGACCTCTCGAGGTCCCTTCCAGTCCTATTATTCTATGATTCTATGATTCTGTTCCTATGTTACAGTCCAGAAATTCATAAATCTGAGCTGGGGTGTCAAACACTAAGCCAGTTTGATGCATTTGTATATTCCCTATGACATACTGAGTTTTTGCAGACTACAAACATTGATTTCTAAAAATCAGAAAATGTCTAGACCTCCTGACTGGAACAAAAGCTTTCCAAATATGAGCCATAAACACCCTAAATCGCCCCTCCCCTAATTCATCTCTCACAAGTGTTAATTCTCAATCTGTTTAATTATATTTCAAATGTATACTTTACATTATCTGTTCTATTGATGATTATTTTAGCAGATGGAATGAGGAAGGGCTTGAGTGTAAAGCCAGTTGAGGGTGGACAGTGGGAGTCACTACAAAAAATGGACTGCAGATGTGGAGGATGAGGAACAGGGAAGAAATAGCAGTGGTATTAAACATTTTTTCCCTCTCATAATAAATGTTAGAATAAGACACTGAACCAATGATAACTAAGGATGAGATTTTTGTCACTATTATTTTTAGTAAGACAAGGTCATGGGCAATAAACAAAAATCTATAGAAGCCTGTTACCTATCTCTGACTTTTACTCAGGTGGGCAATAAAATAACAGCAGCCTGCAGAGTTAGTTCTTGGCAGGCCACCACCTCTGCAGGTATCAGCAGATCGCAGCTCTCATTGGCCACGAATCACTGCTCATGGCCAATGCAAGGGGTGGGAAGTATCGCCAACTGGGACACTGCTTCCCGCCGCACACATTGGCTGTGAACAGTAATTCACAGCCAATGAGAGGTGCAATTGTCCGATACCTGTGGAGGTGCAGGTAAACGTGGAGGTGGGGGCCCGCCAGGGATTAATTCTGTGGGCCAGATTTGGCCTGCAGCCTGGAATTTGCCCACTCCTGCTTTTACTAAAAATAACAGGGGGACTGACAGTTCCAGTCTCTGCTGTCGCTAGAGGCTGACAACCCTGGGATCCAGGGGCAGCTGATAGCTCTGGAGATATTTAAGAGTAGGTTAGATCATGGATTCCCAAACTGGGGGACGTGAAAAAATTCCGGGAGGGGGGGAGGAGGAGGCAACCCAGCTCCCCCTTTAAATCCCCCCCCCAAGTTTTGCTGCTATTTTTGTTTTTCCCCCCCAGTGAGGTTTTTTTTTTTTTTTTTTTTTTTTGGCTCAACAAGTTTTGCTTATGAGGGAGCATGGGGGTTTTTCAAAAATCAAATGGGGGCATGATGCCAAAAGGTTTGGGAACCACTGGGTTAGATAAATGTCTATTAGGGATGGTCTAGACCTGTGGTCATGAACCTGTCAATCACGAGGGCTCAACCAGTTGATCACGAGGTGTTTGGGGCCCCCCCAATTTCCCCCACTCCCCAAGAAACCCCAGTACCTACCTCCATCAACAATGGAGGTAATGCCAGCTTCCTGTGTGGTGAAAGGAAGTCCAGCAGCTGCGTGCCACTTCCAGGGTTTCAGAAAGTGCGCTGGCTGCTCCCCCTCCCCCAAACAGCCGGTGCGGTACCACAACCCAGGTCTGTGGCATGCCAGGGACTTGCTGTGCTGGGGGGAGAGGGGGAAGGAGTACTGGGAGTAGGCGTGTGCCAGGGACTCTGTTCCCTGCTTCCACCAACACCTTGTTCCCTGCCCCCACTGGCAGCCTGTCCCCTGTCACAGAATCCTGTCCCCAGCACCCTTCTCCAGTATCATGTCCCCTGCTCTCACCAGCACAGTTGGGGCCATGTTAGTGAGGCTTGTGGGGGAGTGGGGCTGAGGCTGGTGCTGGGGACTCCCTGTCCCCTCTCCCCACCAAAACCCTGTTCCCTGCCACAGACCCAATCCCCACTGGCACCCTGTTCTCTGCCGCAGAACCCTGCCCCCAGTGGCACCCTTCCCCGGTACCATGTCCCCTGATCCCACCAGCACAGTTGGGGCCACATTAGTGAGGCTTGGGGGGTTTTGGAGGAGTTATTTTTTTGCATCTCACTTGTGTGGCCCCAACTGACTTTTCTGTGGGTCAGTGACCCCCTGACTCAAAACAGGTTCCCCGCCCTTCTCATAAGACAATGCTGAAACATTTTGTGTTTGACATATTTTATTTAAAAATTAAGCGTGGTCAACAAACCCCCAATTGGGGCCAAGCCCACATCTGGCTGCAGTGTCATAACACTCCTGCACCCGCCCCAGACCCTAGATCTGAGCCTATCATGCACTGGAACCCTCTTTCCTGAGCTTCTCACATCCCCAAACTCCTGCACCCCCACATCCTCAGTCTTCTGCCACAACACTCCCGCACCATCCACACACCGCAAATCTGCATCCTGAGCCCATCATACTACCTGCCCTGAGCCCCTCACATACCCCAACCCAAACTCCTGCATCCTCACATCCACAAGCCTGCGGCTTACTCAGCACCCCAACACTCCACCTGACTCCAACACTCCCCAGCCTGAAGCCCCCTCCCTGAGCCAGTATCTCCTTCTCCACCTCCTCCTGCATTCAAATTCCCTCCTACAGTTTGCACCTCTCACCCCTTCCCACACCCAAATCCCTTATTCCCATCCCAGGTCCCACACATCCTGTCTCAACCCAGTGAGGGTAGGGCTAGACTGCAGAGGTTTTTCTGGGATTCCAGAGGTATCCCGGAAAAACTCTTCCGCATCCAGGAATGCATTTGTTCTTCCGCTTTCTTTCCAAAGAAGGGGGTTTTCTGACATTTGACCCAGTCTAGAAAGGCCAGATGTTGGAGAAACCTCTTCCTACAGAAGAATCGAAAAGAAAAAGTGGCAATGTCTAAGGACTGGGGATAGCAAGTGATGGAGAGGAGGAGAACAGTGAGGGCGGGGCTTCAAGGAAGCGGTGGGGTCTTGGGGGAAGGATGGGGTGGTAGATCTTGGCTTGTTCTGACATTTAAAAAGTGATCTTGGGCATAAAAAGGTTGGAAACCACTGGTCTAGACAGTGCTGGGTCCTGCCATGAGGGCAGGGGACTGGACTTGATGACCTCTCAAGGTCTCTTCCAGTCCTAGTATTCTATGATAAGCCAAAACTACAAAAATATTTTGTAGGCAATAGACTAATCTCACAAAGAGAATTTAAAAATCCCAAAATGTTGTCTCTTTCCCCTTCCAAGTTTTAGAAGTGATTAGCAAAGGACTATTTGAGCATCAAAAGGGCATACTACACATTCCATTACTCTTCTATAACAGAAGCTCCATGCAACCCTGAACAACTAGATTTGGCAGGAAGCAATAACAGCAGACACACACAGGTGGCCAATTGGGCAAAGCTGGTATTGAATCTGTCTCTGGCAATATTATGGAAGATAAGCAGAGTTGCTATTGTACGTATCATTCACTAATCTCAAAAAGAGGACCTGAAATATATTTCACTCCCATCTTCAATTAGCACCAAAAATTGTACAACAGTAATAATTCAGATTTCCTGTCTTTCCAAAGAAATAGTACCCATCTGTCTCAGAATCTCAGAACTGCTTTCTATGAGTACTGTGAGGACAGAGACAGGAACTATTGTTGATTAACAAGAAGGAAACAGAACTTTTGCATTTGTATTTATCAATTGGGATCAATTTATAGTTTCAAAAGTGTTATTGTGACTTAACAGCATACTAATACCAAAGGACAAGGGGCTTACTGGTATCAAGTAGTGAGTTTCAGCTAGTGTAATCAGTTGAATGTACCCCAATTCACAGATGTTATAACCTGTACGTAAAAGCTGTCATGTAAGATATCAACACTTATAACAGACTGATCATTAATATTATTGTGTGGTGCACACAGGACAAATTCAAAATGTCAAATGTACTGAAAGTTATCATAGAATACTAGAACAGGAAGGGACCTCAAGAGCTCATTGAGTCCACTCTTCTGAATATAAGAACATAAGAACAGCCATACTGGGTCAGACCAAAGGTCCATCTAGCCCAGTATCCTGTCTGCCAACAGTGGGCAATACCAGATGCTGCAGAGGGAGGGAACACAACAGGTAATCCTCACATGATCCCTCTGCTGTCACCCTCATGGCAGGACTAAGCACTGTCTAGATCAGGGATGGGCAATAATTTTGAGCAGGGACCACCCTGGTTGAGGTCCGTCCTGGAAGAGGCAGGGCCTTGGGCATAAGGGGCAGAGCTTCGGGCAGCAAGGGTGAAGCCTTTAAATAGCAGAGTTGCTCACGCCTCCCCTGTGGATCCTAGGCATCACGTTAGTTGGAGATGGGAGCTGTGAGCCCTTCCAATTCCTGCTATTTAAAGGGCTCGCTGCTCCCAGCCTCGCTGCTAGCGTGT